CAGCCGGTTGTCACTGTCACCCCCCGGCCAGTTGTTACCGTCACTTCTTGGCCGTGGTTGTCACCGTCACCCCCTGGCTGGTTGTCACCATCACCCCCCAGCCTGTTGTCACCGTCACCTCCAGGCCATGGTTGTCACTGTCACCCCCCAGCCATGATTGTCACTGTCACCTCCTGTCTGGTTGTCACTGTCACCCCACAGCCGGTTGTCACTGTCACCCCCCGGCCGGTTGTCACTGTCACCCACCAGCTGGCTGGGGTTGAGGAAGTTGCTGGTGCATTTCTTCTTCATGTCCCTCTCCTCCCGGCTGGGGCTCTCTCCTCCCGAACACTTATCCCCGGGGAACTTTTTTATGAGTTTTTAAGAGTTTTCATGAGCTTTTCATGAGTTTTTAGAGCTTTCATGAGTTTTTTATGAGTTTTCATAAGTTTTCATGAGCTTTTCATGAGTTTTTAGAGCTTTCATGAGTTTTTTATGAGTTTTTAAGAGTTTTCATGAGCTTTTCATGAGTTTTTAAGAGTTTTCATGAGCTTTTTAGGAGTTTTTAAGAGTTTTCATGAGCTTTCACGAGCTTTTTATGAGTTTTCATGAGCTTTTTAAGAGTTTTCATAAGCTTTCATGAGCTTTTCAAGAGTTTTCATGAGCTTCTTATGAGTTTTTATGTTTTCATGAGCTTTCATGAGCTTTTTACAAGTTTTTAAGAGTTTTCATGCTTTTTATGAGTTTTTATGAGTTTTTAAGAGTTTTCATGAGTTTTCATGAACTTTTAATGAGTTTTCATGAGCTTTTTATGAGTTTTCAAGAGTTTTCATGAGCTTTTTAAGAGTTTTTAAGAGTTTCCATGAGTTTTCATGAGCTTTTTATGAGTTTTTAAGAGTTTCCATGAGTTTTCATGAGCTTTTTATGAGTTTTTAAGAGTTTCCATGAGTTTTCATGAGCTTTTTATGAGTTTTTAAGAGTTTCCATGAGTTTTCATGAGCTTTTTATGAGTTTTCATGAGTTTTCACAGGCTTTTCATGAGTTTTCACGAGCTTTTCATGAGTTTTCATGAGCTTTCATGAGCTTTTTAAGAGTTTTTGTGAGCTTTTTAAGAGTTTCCATGAGCTTTCATGAGCTTTTTATGAGTTTTTAAGAGTTTTCATGAGCTTTTTACGAGCTTTCATGAGCTTTTTAAGAGTTTTCATGAGTTTTCATGAGCTTTTTATGAGTTTTTATGAGCTTTCTCAGGGCCACAGCCACCTGGGAGGGTGACAGTTGGGTGGTGGGCCGGGGACACGGATGGGGGACAGAAGGTGGGGACGGAAGGTACCAGAGGAAATCCTGGAGGGTGCAGGGGCAGACGGAGGGCTGTTTGGTGACGGCGTAGTCCCGGCCGTTTTGACAGACGGAGGATTTGCGGAGGCGCCGGTACTGCTCCTTGTAGCCCAGTATGCAGCCGTCACTGGGGTCACTGGGATCACTGGAGTGAGCCAGCCAGATGGTGTAGTCCTTCTCCTCGCCTGCCACCAAGGGAGGGAGGTCAGGGAGGTTGTGTGTCCCCCTCCTCCCCACACACACACCCCGCCGTGGGGATGGGTGGGATGAGGCCACAGGACCCACCACCGCTCACCCCGACACGTTGTCCCCCACGGAGGGGACCCAAGGGACACGTTGTCCCCAAGAGAGACTCTGCCAAGGGCACCCGCACCCAGGGATGAGGGCAAAAGCGTCACCCAGTCCAGCTCTGGTTGTCCCCAGTCTGGTTGTCCCCATCCCCAGTTGTCCCCAGCTCCAGTTGTCCCCATCCCCAGGTTGTCCCCATCCAAGTCCAGCCCAGGTTGTCCCCATCCCAGGTTGTCCCCAGCCCTGATTGTCCTCATCCAACACCAGCCCAGGTTGTCTCCATCCAACACCAGCCCAGGTTGTCCCCAGCTCTGGTTGTCCCCATCCCCAGGTTGTCCCCAGCCCTGGTTGTCCACAGCCCTGGTTGTCCCCATCCAAGACCAACCCAGGTTGTCCCCATCCCCAGGTTGTCCCCAGCCCTGGTTGTCCCCATCCAAGACCAGCCCTGATTGCTCCCAGTCCTAGTTGTCCCCAGCCCTCGTTGTCCCCATCCAACACCAGCCCAGGTTGTCCCCAGCCCGGGTTGTACCCACCCAAGGCCAGCTGTGGTTGTCCCCATTCCCAGGTTGTCCCCAGGTCTGGTTGTCCCCATCCAAGGCCAGCCGTGGTTGTCCCCATCCCCAGGTTGTCCCCAGGCCTGGTTGTCCCCATCCAACACCAGCCCAGGTTGTCCCCATCCAACACCAGCACAGGTTGTCCCCATCTCCAGGCTGTCCCCAACCCTGGTTGTCCCCATCCAAGACCAGCCCTGCTTGACCCCAGCCCTGCTTGTCCCCATCCCAGGTTGTCCCCAACCCAGGTTGTCCCCACCCAACAACAGCCCAAGCTGTCCCCATCCCCAGGTTGTCCCCATCCAACACCAGCCGTGGTTGTCCCCATCCCCAGGTTGTCCCCAGCCCAGGTTGCCCCCATCCAACACCAGCCCAGGTTGTCCCCATCCCCAGGTTGTCCCCGGCCCTGGTTGTCCCCATCCCAGGTTGTCCTCAACCCTGGTTGTCCCCATCCCCAGGTTGTCCCCAGCCCTGGTTGTCCCCATCCAAGACCAGCCCAGGTTGTCCCCAGCCCTGGTTGTCCAACCCAGGTTGTTCCCAGCCCTGGTTGTTGTCCCCATCCCCAGGTTGTCCCCATGGGGTCCCCGTTGGCTCTCACAGGTCCTGCTGAGCAGTTGGCTGAAGTCGATGGTGTAGGAGACCCACTTGCGGGAGAGGAAGTTGCCGCGGAAGCCCCAGACGCTGACGTTCATGGACCGAGCCCCCGGTTCGGAGGCCA